TGGAATACCTGCCCCCTGCCGGCTCCTGGGGAGATTAACCCCATCCCTGCCAGAACCAGGACACTGAGATTAGTGTTTTATAACACTGCCAAGTTCTGCATTTTGAAACTGACTATATGACAGAGGCATCTGAGCCATCACTGACATTTGGCATTCCTTCCCTCATTTCTGGCAGAGCTGCCGCTCTGGCAGTGACATTTCTGGCCCAAATCTCTCTCAATGAAATCACTGGCAAATTTCCCAACTCCTTGAATAAGAACAGAATTGGGTCCCACGACCAGAAGATGCACGTGCATCTCTCATCATACTGTAAGCAGCAAATGGTCATGATTGCTATCTAGCAATCCAAACTGAGGGGCTGGTGACATCTGAGAGTGAGTTGATTAAATTTAACGTATGCCCATCAGGTAGGGAGTGGCGAGAAACTAGAAAACATCCTTGCTTGCTGATCAAAAGACAAAAACATGACATAAGTGATTACTAAAAGTATAAAAAAATATTTTGTTTAGACTATTTTTCATTAAAATCCACCTGTGCGATTCATTTCCCTGAACATTCTTTGGAAAGAAAACAGCCCAAAAAGAAAATCCTTAAAAAATATTTTCTACTTTTTGTACATTTTTTAGAAAGAGTTTTCTTTATTTCATTCTGGATGAGGCAATGTATTTCAGCATTTATAAAACTGTAGTGCAGGAAACTTTTCACAAAATCTTAGAGCAGTAAGAGGCAAAACAGAAACACTGTTTTAGAAGCAGCAGGTACCATTTCTAATCTAGGACCTGTACTGAAGGTCAAAACTTCACAATGGAACAATTAATAAAGGAACCCATTAAGGTCTGATTGTTGCTGCTAAAAAGGAAGGTTGAATTTCAGTCCTTTGAAGTAACTGAGAATGATTCAGGCCTCATTACAGAGATATAATCTACATTCATACATTTATGTTCGTTATTCAAATCTATTGGGACAGATTGAATTCAGTTAAATAGTGCATCTTTCCTGTGGAATTTTTCTCAGGCTTTCTCGGGCTAACCTAAGAGGTGACCTGACAATACAAAGTAGTGGGGTATTTAGGGATTCAACTGTGCTATAAATGAAAGGCTATACAAAAAGTAGAAAAAAGAATAAGATATAATCTAAAAAGCTATGTCAGCCTTTCATTTGGACTCTGTTTTGTAAATGCCCTCCCTGTCATCACATGGGATTGAAAAGGACTCTATGTGTTGTAGGAGCTTTAAGTACTGCACTGAATATTGCACCTGCCAGAAGCAGATTGAATATGAAATTCCAGATATGTGGGTTTTGTTCTTAACCACAAGATCTTACAACCAACATACAGCCAATCACAAGCTAGAAATAGGTCTAAGCAGAACTCTTCTTGAGAAGAGTAAATTCAAGATGGTACCTATTTTTTAAAAAGATTAGGGGTTAAATAGTTGCCACAAAAGGAAAGCCTAAATCAGATTCACCAAATATTTTCTGAAATGCTTTGCACTCAGTGCAAATACATGCAGAATAAATACTCTGAAGTACCATAAACAACATCATAAAACATATTGATTGTAACATTAAATGCTTTCATATTTAAGGCTGTTTAAATGTCACCCCACAGAAGCTGAACACGTAAATTTAGGAGCAAAGTCTCTCCAGAATAAACACCATAATTGGAGAAAATAATTTCTAATTTCTGTTGTGAAGTTAACAATATATTTAACACCCTAATCTAATGAATCAGTCTAATTTTAGAACTATTTGTTCTTTTCTGCATTTTCTGTTGTTTAAATTAAGAATCACTCCAAATGCCAAATGTAATTACATAGATGGTTTTCCACTGCATTCCACTGATTTGTGTTATTAAACTGCCTCTACTTCAAAAAAGTTCTGGGTTTATGTATTGAGGAACTCACTGTGTTTCTGTACTGCTTCACTTCTCCGCTACTCCATTCTCTTAGTGAATGTTCCACCTACTTGCATTCCAAACGTTATTTTACAATACTAGATACTGAACCAAAATTTAATGTCTTGCATGCTGCCCATATCCTGTCAGTCCCTGATCCCTTATCCTGGTGTTAAAAGATAGTAAGTAAATCATATGGAAGATGCCTGTTAATTACTGGGAAAGTTGACAGTTCAGTGATGGGCTAGAAATATGAATCTGTCATAACATTCAGTCTGTGAAATGACAAATCCATTAGGAGAGATGGAATCAACGGAAAAACCCCTCCAGGAAAATAATGGCTTGAAAAAACGCTTTAAAATAGCCTTAAAAAGGAAAAAATTGTATCTTTCTGGCAAAGGAAACTGCATTAGTTAAAAAACAAAACAAAACAAACAGCAAAACATTCAGACAGATTTTATGGGGAAACCTTTGCAATCCCAATAAAGCCCCTTTTGCTTTGAAGTCAGACATGTGATTCAGTAAATGACTCATGTTAGCAATTAAAAAATGGTCATTTAGGGCCCTGATTTCTTTTGAGAGAAGGAGGGTGGGGGTGGGGAAAGAGACACTTGAGAGGCTTAAAAGGAAGAGCAGGCTAAGGTATGAACTTTTTATTTCAGCAACGGAAGCGAGAAATCAGTGATTCATTAAAGGAGGGAGAAAGACCTCCATGGTAGCTGGTAAAAAGGAGCTAATTACATCTTTTCCCTTTTTACTCTCTGACCAGCATATAATCTGCTTTTCCAGGGTCTGTCTGTAGTATATACTTCTTTGCAACCTCTCCACCCAACCAGTCCTCCAGCGAGGGGGGAGGAGGGGGAGATCTAGCAGGCAACAAGCTCCAGGTTGCTTTCTCAAGCACTTTACTGCCAAAAAAATAAAATAAAATCCTCTGCTAGAAAACAAGTTTCTTTTGTGGGGATGGTTGGTGAATGGGGGGAGGGAAACCTCCTTAGGTTCAGCCTGGAAAAAAGGGAAATTAGTAAAGCATAAGTCTCCAAGCCACGTTGGTGGCCAGTGCTCTGAGAAGAACGCTTTAGGAACAATTAGCAACAAGCCAGCTGCTGCTGCTGCTGCTGCGAGCAACTCCCAAAACTCTCTCCATAGCTGCAGCAGCAAGCACTGCTTGCTCCAACTGTAAAAGGATTTCAAATGTCCCACCCCTGCTTGACCCCCTGCAAATAAGGGTTGACCACAAGAGCCACATCCCACCTCGGATTTGTAATCGCTGATATTTAGTCTACAGCTTCCAGCTTGTTTACAACCAAAGCAGGAGAGACAAGTTGGGGTTTCTATTTCTCTCAATTTATTTTATTTTATTTTAATACTGTTCTGGAGATTTCAAAGCAAAACAAAAAAACTGTCTCCTCTAGGGTTGTCAGTGAGAAGGACGAGTTGTGCAACTGGTTTGGGATTTCCAAAGAGGCAAGGGGGTAGGGATCAGAAGAAGGTGCAAACCACAAAGTACGGGTAAAGGGGGTGTGTGTGAAAAATCCCTTCTGGCACCCTTTTCTGCTGGTTATTATTTATTTTTGTTGTTGTTCACTTTACTGTCATCTGTTTTTCAGACCTTTCTGTATCTAAGATGGTGAAGAAAGGAGTGAGGAAGAGAACAAAATAACTACTGGGAAGTCTCAAACCAGGTTGGGGAGTGTGTGTGTATGTGGGGGGGTGTGGGGTGGGGAAGAGAAAAAGGAAAGAGGATTAACCACAGCAACCCCCCCCCAAAAAAAAAAAAGAAAAAAATCCAACAGCTCTCTTTTTTCTGAGGGAGGACTCAAAGGATTAAAAGGCAGCAACTTCTGAGGTGATTTGTCCCCTGAGTTATGGATGTTGGTGCACTTACTTCAGGCCAGATCAGAGCTCAGAGGGATCTAACCAGAAGCAGCAACCACCGGCTCTCCGCTTGCCTTTTACAAGGTTTTACCCTTCCAGTATGTTTCATTTGATAAGACATTTTCCAGCGCCCAGAGTTTCAGTACAATGTGCAAATGGATACTGACAAATGGTGCCTCAACCTTTTCCCACCTGCCTTGTTGCTCCTTGCTGCTGCTCTTCTTGGTGTCTTCTGTGCCTGTCACCTGCCATGACCTCGGCCAGGACATGCTGTCCCCGGAGGCCACCAACTCTTCTTCATCATTCTCCTTCCCCTCGTCCTTCTCTCCTTCCAGTGCGGGGAGACACGTGCGGAGCTACAATCACCTCCAAGGAGACGTGCGCAAGAGGAAGCTCTACTCTTACAACAAGTACTTTCTCAAGATTGAGAAGAACGGCAAGGTCAGCGGCACTAAGAAGGAGAACTGTCCCTTCAGTAAGTACGGCTCTGCCGCCGCGCTAAGGTGACGCCTCGGCGGGGAGGGGGCGCGGAGCAGAGCTGAAGTGGGATGTGCTCGGCTCCTCCGGGATGCCGCTCCCTGCCAGCCCGTATCTGCAAATCTCTCCGGTTACATTTGTTTTTTAAGTGGCTTCGCCGAATACAGTTTGTTTCTTTGCCTGGTAGAAGAGCAAATTGGAAAGATTTGTAAGGATGTGGCGGGGGGGCACAGTCTCTCGAATCTGAAAATCATTATCCCCTGTCATTAAAATGCCTTGACGAGAACGCTATGTTGAAATAATGCATCGATTTTCCCACACACACACTCTTCTTCCCGAGCCGCACAAGAGCTGTCTGCTCTGCGTTCACTCCTCCCCGAGCCCGGAAAAGGGGGTTTTCCTTCGAGCTGGGTTTTTGCCTGGGTTTGCACTGGAAGTCAGCGCGCGGCCGCGCAGCCGCCCGCGATAAGGCGATGCTTGTGCCTGCCGCGTCCCTGGCATGCGTGATGCGCCCCGTCGCTTCCGGGTTGCGGCGCCGCTATACTACTTACTACTCGCTCCGTTGTAAACATCTGGGGCTGGATTCGCACAGACCTCACACGCATTTCATTGTCTCTTGGGTTGGGGAGTTTTTTGTTTTTGTTTAAAGAAATTATTTCAAATTAAAAGTCATATGGCCGTTTCCATGGCTGTAGTTTCAAGCTTTTCAGTAGTACTAATTAGGCTTTTAGTAATAGCATGCTTCTGGTAATGTATTTTTGGCTGTCAGTGCTATAGATGTACCCCCTTTTTTTTTTTATTTTCCTGCCTGTGCAATCTCAAATTGAAGTAACTGTATTAAATCACAATATATTGCATTGTAATTTAAGCGACTGCATCCCACTATAGGAGCATGCTGAAAAGGTAAGCTCTGTTATATAAGTGTTGGAGGAAACTTTCTAATTTGCTTCACTGGTGGAGAACCACGTTTTGGTTCTTGGACTGTCTTACATAGATCCAGATAAACCTGGGGATAAATATTCTGTTAAATTAAAACAACTTAAAGTAACTTAAGGAGATCCCTTGTTAGCTAATGTCTAAAACACGGAGTACTTCAGCAGATTGCCATGCTATATGATAGACATTGCTGTTAATACCACTGTATTTTTATTAAATACCCATAATACAAGCTTGCAAACAGGGAGGAGAGGGCTGCTGTATTGTATTGTCACTACTTCACCTGCTCTACTTTGTAACTTCATACTTTATGATGCAGTTAATGTTTGTAAAAGCTTTAGATGTCAAAGCAGCTGAATCTTACCACCTCCCTTTTTATATATATCACAGAGAGCCAAATTATTGAAAAACAAAGCTATATGATGAAGGCTTCACTTTGAATTTGTGTGGAACTAGGTCCTAGCACTGTATTTCTTAGATTACTTTTATTTGTGGAGGAGGACAGCATCATTCACCTAAAATGGGATTCTGAAAGCTTTGTGTGCATCTCGGGACACCAAGCCATTCTGTGTGGAATATTGCTGCCAAAAAGGCTATAAGGGGCCCAATCTGACAACAGTGTATTCAGAGAAGTAACTACTCATCTGAGCAGTCCCATTTAGCCAGCAGAACTGTTCAGTGAGTAAAGTTGCACACATGCATGATCTTCTGCGAGATCTTGCCAAGAAGAGGTAGAATACACTGAAATGCATATATATACATCTTTCTACTCTTTCAGTCTACGTGCAAGAACAACCCCTTGTAACTATAGGGTGTGATTTTTATGAATTCCCCCCCCCCCGCCCCCAGTTTCCAGGCAGAGCATCAGAAAGAGAATTTGCATTCTTGGTGATGTCATGGTTATTGTCACATCTGCAGAGTATCTACTGAGCGAGAGAAGAACGTAATTTTTTTTCATATAAATGCAAACCAGTGCCATTATTATATGTAGTTGTATCCTGTCCCTCAGGCTTATGTCCAGTGAAGAAAAGACTCACAGTCTTAAAACTTGCAACATCTTTAAATACAAAACAATTAGGATCTTGCTAGCAGAAGATACGTCAGTTGTATGTTCTTCTTTAATAGTCATTATAGTTTGCAGTGGGAAATTGTGTTTTCTGTAAAAGCACATAGGCTGAGACCATTTAAGTAAATGATCTGGGCTGACCAAGAGGAGCTTAAGCCATATAAGCCATATATAAAAATGGAGAGAAACCTGCATGTTTCTGACTTTACTTGCACCCAGAAAGCTTTCTTGAAGATAGTGAAACTCTTTGGGTTTAATGAACAGCATGCATTGGGCTACATGATAAGCTGGTTCAGGAAAACTTGAACGTGTTTTCAAGTGTTACGCTATTTTTAATTGACTTTTAAGGCAATTGTTAAGTGTTATGAAGCACACACTTCAAATTTACAGGACAGATCTTAGTAGCTGAAGAATGGTAACACAATATGTGATGCTTAATTAGCAGCAGCTAACCTGCAATCTGTAGGGGGAGTTCTGTCTGAGCAAGGATTGCAGGATCAGGCCATTATGTAGGTACGTATTTAGGCAGTGAAGTCTGTGTCATTGAGCCTGGATATTAGTGGGAAGAATTGCTGGAGCAATTCCTGCGGGCTTTGGACCAAGCAGTGCTATGCAAAACCTACGGTAGATGGCAGCACAGCCACTGTCTGGTGTCACCTGCTCGAAGTAGGTGGACAAGAAGGGGCTGGATCCTTAGCTGTATGAGCTAATTTAGCTCAAGCAAAGCTAAAAGGGCTTACACCAGCTGAGAGGCTATTAATTTGACTTCTACAATTCTGCAGGGGAAAGAAAAAAAAAAAAGACTTAAAGTGAGACTTAATGTGAGAACTTTTCTCCATTTTTCTAAAGACTGATTAGTGGGCGTATGTGTTTTGTTATTTTACTGTCCATAGAGATCTGGTTTATTTTTTTACCAATTAAAAGGACTTAAAATAGGAAATAATACTGACTTAGTGAAGTAATTTGATCTTAGGTTCTTTAATATGAAATTTATATGTCTCACTTTAAGTCTTTTTTTTTTCTTTCCCCTGCAGAATTCAGTTACATACTTTATAACCAGCAGTATACAAACTTAGTCACTTAAGATTTATGAATGTGAAAGAATTGTACTATTTAATGTCTACATGACACTCTCCTGTTACCCTTACTGCGTTCCTGCCTTGTGGACCCTCCATGCTGATACTGTAGCCTTGTCATAAATCTGTTCAAAATATATAGTTGTAAGAAGTGTTTCTGTCTTCATAAACCTAATTTATAGCCACTTGAAAAAAAAAGAAAGAGTTAGGGGCAACCAGAAGTTTGTTCTTCTTAAAACCTCAGAAGAATGAGACCAAGGGGGCATACAGGCTTATAGATACCATGCTGCTGTTTTAATGGGAGGGTTCTCAGGTAGTGGCTTGGTCAAAGCTTCTCTCGAAGGTGGCATTAACTGAGTGAGCACTATAGAATGTGCTTACACTTTTGAAACATTTTGGATGCATTCAGTCGTAGGATAAGATCCTCTGTTTTGAATGAAGGCATTTTAAGATGACTTTCAGATGTCTTTGATGCCTTTTCACTTCAAATGGGAGTCAGATCAGATCCTGCAATAGGGGAGTTTTCTTCCACAGAGTCTTTTATTTTGGAAAAGGAAAAACCCTTCTATGAGCAAATCTGTGTTAACCTGTGTGTCTTAAGTTAAAAATATCAGGTACCTGTATGAACATAGGACAATATCTCCTCTCATGGAGGATTCCTGACTTTTCCTCTGAGCAAGTAATATAATTGCAGAAGGAAAGTTCTAAATAGGGAAAAAAAAATCTTTGTAAACAATATTGTATTTTTAATCTTAAGATTAATATTTGGGATGATAGAAATAGTGTCAGCAAAGCAGAGAAATGATTCAGTCAACTTGGGATTTGTTATAATGCTCTCTTCGTGGCCTGTTTTTGTTTGTTTGTTTTCTCAGTTTTCTGAAGAGCTTTCTGAAACAAGCACTTAAAGTCCCTTCTTCCCCAAAATAGCACTGAGTTGAAATTTCAGTTTGCATGTTTTGAACACTTGCTACTATTGCTTGCAGTCACCATAAGACACCTTATCCTAATATTCTGGGGTTCATAATCTAGTGACCTCTTTGACATTTTGAATGGCACAGATAATTTGAATGTTTATCAGCATTACCAACCAACATCAGCTTGATGAGACTGCATGAAGTAAGCTTTACTTGCTTTGGGCTATGAAAACCACATTATCAGATCAGAAACAGAGGAGTCAACGTGAGCACGCGTATATTTCTTGGTCTGTAGGTATACTAGTACCGCTAGTCTAACTGTATGTATTTATCAAACATTTTTTCCTTCTTTTGCTTCAACAACTTATTTTAATGCAATATTTTAATATCTTGCAGCCTTTCATTGTTCAGATACTTTGAACATAAAAAAGTAGTCAATGGTACTTGCAACCATTAGTTCTGTTAAATGGAAAGATCTTTTCCTAGCAGTATTAATTGCTTTTGTTGCTAGTGTCAATTTGTTGTAAAATATCTCTTAGTTACAACATAGTAAAAAGGAGACAGGGAACACTGTTACATAAAGTTTTGAAAAGTCAGCTTGGGAAAGCTCTCTGTGTTTATGAAGAAAATGAGGAGGGTGAACTTTGATCCCTTCAAGGAATTGCTTGGACAAATCCCATGGGAGAGGGCTCTAGAGGGAAAGGGGGCTCAAGAGATCTGGCTGCTATTTAAGCATCACTTCCTCCAAGCTCAGGATCAGTGCATCCCAAAGAGAGAGAAATCAGGCAAGGGAAGAAGGAGACCTGCATGGCTGAGCAGGGACCTTCTGAAAAAACTCAGGTGGAAGAAGGGGCTGACTGCTTGGGAAGAGTATAAGAATGCTGTCACGGTCCACTCCTCGGTGGACGTGTGATGGTTTGTTTCAGTTGTGATCTCGAAGCGCAAAAAGAAATGGCATCAGGCCCAGGGAGTTATGCTTTCAACACACAATGACTTTATTGGTTTT